ATGACACGGCAAGACCTCATCTCAAAAAAACAAACAAACAAAAAAAAAAAAAAAACAAAAAAAAAAAAACAAGGCCTGAGACCTCTCACTTTTGTACCTTAGGGGGCCCTGAGCTGCCACCATGTAAGAAATCAGACTCAGTAGGAAAGACCACATGGAGAGGCCACATGGAGTGGAAGAGGATCCAGGATTATACAGACAGAGATGTGGTGGGGCCTGCTGTCCCATCATTCCAGCTGAGTCCAACCATCCAGCCATCCCACCAAGGCATCAGACACATAAATGAAGCATGTGGGATGTTCCAGCACAAACCATTATCTGATTGCAGCTACATGATAGACCCCAAGCCTTATCAATAGAAAAACCATCCAGAGGAACCCCAATCAACCCAAAGAATCATAAGAAATAATAAACTGGATGTTATATTTGAGGGTAGTTTATTATTTAGCAATAGACAACTAAAAATGCAGCAAGAGAATTTATTCTATGTAAGGTTATTTACTTTTTCCATCCTTTGCATAACCAATAATACCTTTTTTCCATCAGTCCTCTTCCCTAACTCTGAACCACTTCTATAGAATATGATGTTGCTAACCAAGTTTTCACATTCCTGTAGAAATTATTTAAATCAGACTGGAAGTGGAACCAAGTCCACAGATGGAACAAGGGATTCTAATAGAAACTGATGTTTAAAAGAGCTAGATATCTAAATGCATTACTATTGCTGCTGCTGCTATACCACTTCTCTGGCTGACAGTTGTTCTTCAGAGCTAGCTTGCCAATAGAAGATCAAAATGCCTTGCCTAAACACAAGACTTACAAATTTGGGATCTTAAGTATGATGTCATGTCTTAAAATGATAAGCTGGCAAAGAAAATAAATGGCATTTTGTAAAGATGTGCACCATTTTCATGTTTATGCTACTTAAGATGAAGGTTCTAATAAGTCATCGGCTATGTTCCTTTAAAGGGAAGTTTTATAACCGAGATGAATCACAACTGCAAAAGATCAAAGTTAAAAAACATCAATGATGCCATAGGGTACTTTTTAATCTTATAATGAGTGATGATCATGTGCTCTTATGAAGTCAGTCCAACTGCCAACGCCAGATGTGTATATTAAGAAAAGAAGTTGTTTGTGATGTGACAGCACTGGTTCAGCTGCCAGAGACAGAAAACATAGAAGGATGAAACCTTTTGGATTTTTGAGTGAAAAGCAAGTCTTGGCAGATGTGTTGATAGGCAAGGCCTCAGAGTGGAGTACTAGTGCCATAGCATCTGCTCTTGGACTTTGCTGCAAACAAATTAAATTTATCATCAATTCTGCACAGCTTTCCCTGGGCAGCATGAATATCTGCTCAGGCATAATTTATAATACAAATTAGTGTCATTTACTAATGAGCAAAAGTTAGTAAAGCCATCTGCAGGGGGAAAAAAGTAATATACTAGAGAACAGAATCTATAGATGGTATCTGTTTCCTAGAAGCATACCATAAGAAAAACTCTACGGCAAACCTCTGACACTGAAGAAAATTGATGTAATAATACCTGACACTTAATGAACACTTACTACATGACAGTCACTGTGCTACCCATTTTACATACATTACATTTAACATTTTTGCAGCAACTGATGAGGAAGGTATTATCATTCTCACATAAAAGATGAGAAAACCAAGGCAAAGAGAAGTTAGGTAACTTGCTTGCCTCCATACAGTTAATAAATGGTGGAGTTGGGATTTTGATCCAAGCAGTTTGACATAAAGACCCAACCAGTTAACCCAGAATTTGTCCTCATTCAAACAGCTGAGCTACCAGAAGCAGGCTTTTCAATATATATTCAGATCTTTAGAGGAAGGAGTACAATTCCATCAATAGGAACTGATAATACAAAATTCTCAACTCCCTCAAGCCACTATAAGTGATAAACAGAAGTATACTACTTTTATGACTAATAACCACTAATTAAGGAATTATAATTTGGGGCAGAGGAGGCTAAACAATTGTCTATAAATTGTTCCGTTCCCCTCTCCACCCGCCCCAGGAAAGCCTTTTACTAAAGCCCTTCTCTGTTAAGGATCAATAAAATTAGCCACTTTGAATAAGCAAGGGTTGACAAACTACAACCGGGCTCACCAATTATTTTCATAAGTAAAATTTTAGTGGAATACAGGTTGAGTGTCCTTAATCTGAAAATCCGAAACGCTCCAAAATCTGAAAGTTTTGAGCACCAACATGATGCCACAAGTGGAAAATTCCACACATAAGTACGCAACATAAACTTTGTTTCTTCCACAAAATTATTTAAATATTGTATAAAATTATCTTCAAGTTATGTGCATAAGGTGTATATGAAGCATACATGAATTTCATGTATGGATTTGGGTTTCATCCCCAAGGTATCTCATTATATATGCAAATATTCCAAAAATTTTAAAAAATTGGAATCCAAAACACTTCTGGTCCCAAGCATTTTGGTTAAGGGACACTCAACCTGTATAGCCATGACCATGAATGTATGTATTTGCTTATGCTGCTTTTGAGCTACAATGGCAGAGTCGAGTGGTTGTGACAGAGACCACCATATGGCCCACAGTGTCTAAAGAATTTTCTATCTGGCACTCTACAAAAAATGTTTGTCAATCTGTGTTCTAGAGGATCTCCCATTTAACATTACATGCACCAACTAATCAAAATCCTATTATAGTCACTGTTTAAGAAAATTGGAAATCTTGTGCATCTCCCATACGTAGGAGTGTCAAAATTAAAGAACAATATTGAGAAGAGGGCTATGCTACACATATTCAATGCCCAGGATGACCAAGAGCAGGGAGGAATCCAGCACAGAGTCCAGGTTATAGGATTCAGCAGTCGCTGAAAGCAGACCCATCCCTCTCTCCAGACACTGACTTCGTCAAGTCACCCCATAATGTCAGGAAAATGACCTTGCATTTTCACCGATATTTTCAGTTAATAAGAAATGTTATTCAGGTTTATCTAGGGCAGGTGGTCTACCACTTGCAGATCTGTATCTGCTTCCACCGCCCACCCTGGGCACCACACAAAGCCTGAACTCAGGTCCCACGTATACCACCTGGCCCCTCTATTCCTAACTCTCACTGCTTTCAGAGTACTTCTCTGCCTTTACAAGGCAGTGAGTCTATTGACTAATTTGGCCAAAAACCTCTCTAAATAAGGTACTGCTATCCACACTTGAAACAGAAGTGACTTTTCCAAAGCTACCCTGCCTTCTCACTTATTGTCATATCGTTCAGAACAGGGAGCACCTATCCTTCCCTGTTTCCTCTCCCAACCATCAAATTTTGAGCATCAACTCTTGTGTATATGTACATATACACACACAAACATACACACACACACACACACATAAACACACACGAATGGTTTTTCCAAGAACTGAGAAAAGCAGCTGAGATCAGCAGGAAACATCTTTAAGAGATAAGTATTCATGGTGCTACGTGTTAAAAACCAACTATCCTGCTATATGCATTACTAAAATGGACGTCCTGCCTTTTCAGGAATTCCGGGGCTAGTCTGACCAAAAGTTAGAAGACATCTTCCATCATAAGGCATCATCCCCAACTTATGGCCATCCAGAAAAGGCAGGCAAAGCCCCAAACCAGGCAAAGCTCTGTTCTATTCACCTGCACTCCATAACCACTAGCCCTTAGGACTAGAGACTTGGGGCTTACACACATATGCACTGCAATCACCTAACAGGACATTCCCAAATTGAACAGACAGGGCCAGCACTGACTCAACATTATGAACCTGGAAGAATGCCATACACATGAAAGGAGAAGAAAACAAAAACCTCAAAGACTTGCTTTTGAGGCAGGAAACCTCCCTAGTTCAGGCAAGCAGTCAGTCTTTGTGAAAAGAGACAGCAGCAAAAGGGACAGGACCCATCATAAGCTCCCACTGCTAGGAAGGTTTGCTACTTGGGTGGAGGCAAAACTTTATGAGACCTTTTCTCTCATTTGAGGGGAAGAAGAGATATGCCACTCTCATGATCCAGGCAGGTTGATTGTTACAGAACAAGTACTTCTGCCAGCTATACCTCCACCACAAACCAAATTGACCTCCCTAAATGCAGTGATTAGGATTCCAATGTATTCACTCAGCAAAGGCAGAGTTCTATATGATGTTTCCATTGGCACACAATTGTTAACGGTTTATATATCAAATAATCTTTAATCTCTAAATATATTTAAATACCGCTATGCTGAGTTTGTTCAAAGCAGTTTTTTGGTGGCGGTGGGGCAAGCAAACCTCAGTCAATTTAGATTTAGAAGGAACATACATATTGGCCCAAATAGATTACGTGCACTACCTGAAACTGATTGCCGGTGAAACCTTCTGGATGTCCAGACAGACAAATAAACCAAGATGGATTTAAAGGTGGTTTGACTATCTGTTAAAAGAAAACTACCTATAACAATTACTAGAGCATGACCAAACAACGGTGTTGTAACAATCAAGCAAGTTATCATTTGCAAATAAATTCTTTGTAATTAAGCAGTGTGCTCTTCATAAAGGGAATTGAGTGGGCGAGTTAAAAAGCTCAAACACATTCTTAGGCCATGGGAAACACATGCAAATGCTTTTTGACTAAGCTCAAGATTTTTAAGTTTACTCTTTTCTTCCTCAGCTCTCATGGGTCTATTCTGCCCCAGTATGTTCAGTACATGAGCAAAATTTCTTAGCAAATAGTTAACAGTGACTGAATAATTATTCACTCATTTCCCAAAGTTATGGAGGCCTTAGCAATTGTGTGGTAAAGCTTAAAACTGTAGTTTTATTTTCTAACTCTGAAGTTTGATTAACTGTCCCTCACTAAAAAATATATATATATATGCAGATAGCAAAGTCTACAAAGACACTATGGACATGAAAGTGACCCTAACTCATTTGGAATAAATTCCTCATAGGGTATCTGGAAACTCTATTACCATTTTCAATAAAAAGGGGAGTACTTACTTCTGGGTTCCCGAGGTCCATCCACTGTAACTTTAATTGCTCTGTGATAGGTAGCTACTTGGGGAGGATTTGTGAAGACGGTTATGGTCAAGGTGAAACTCTTGCCTGCAGATATAAAAGGGAAAAACATACAGTGAATATTAAAAAACAGTATTGATGATTACACAGCAGCATAGATTTCCAAATTGCATGTAAGCATCTCTAAGGAGGCAATGAAACAAAGACAAGAGGCAGGACTCCTTCTTCTAAATTGAAAACCCTCTGTTGACCACTGTTAGGACATTTCCAAATTTGCTTAGTGTCAAGATCATCGTCCTCATTGTAGTGCTACACAGGAAGACTCCAATTCCAAAAAAGCTCCTCAGTAGCAAGAGTTGTAATGAAAACAAAACCCTGGTCCACTTGAGGGAGGTTCTTTTTCTTTCAATTTTCTCCAACATCAGGAACACATCCAAGCACAGACAATTTTAGAAGTCTTTATTTAGGGTTAGGTCATGACCTCATGAGAGAACAATAGTAAATCATTGTTGATTATGTTATTTACTTCACATGGCTTTAGCATTTCATTTGCTTAGCTGCACTACAGTAAGAAGATAAAAGAGGAAAGTTCTTATGGGAATCATTTTAACAGGAGCCAGTGTCTCCTGTCCTGGCCTTAATGTGCCTGTGGTATGATGATTTCATCATTACTGGAACAAAGTTTTTCTCCTCCCTGTCCACCCCTCCCCTAACATCCATCCTTGCTGTTAAATCTTGAAATAACTCCCTGACAGTGACTTACTTTTTGCTAAATGAACATGACATCTCTCAATATAAACTCAGATTTTGCTTTTAGCAGAAGGTGTGCTTCATTGAAATATTACTTCTGATGCTTCAAATTAATGAGCTAAAAGCAATGAATAAGAAGGGGAAAAGAGACAGGGAAAAGTTTGGTAGCGTATTTGGATGTCTGTTTTCTCCAGAAGAAGATACCATTCTCTGTTGCACAGACTTACTAACAGTTGTAATCAGTTAGATTTGCAACGGTTAATCATGTCAGATAGTCAAAACTGCAAACTGTTACAAGACAGGAAGAGGTGGGCGTGAAACAGTGACTCAATAAAACATTCAGCAATCTCAGGCCAGAGTGCTCATTTAGTCTGCTCCTGTAACAGACCTTTAAAAAGCTCATTTTGTTTTGCTTTGTTTTTTTGGTCAGAGATTCTTTTTCCCTTTACTGAAAACTGAGAGTATTAAACCAAAACACAAATCTTTGACAATATGTACCAATGCAAAGTTTAATGCAGTCTTTTCAAAGCTTAATATGGAACAGGTTATATACAAGGCTTAATGGAGAACAGGTCTTTGGCTGTCAAGTCTAGTGAATGGGTTTTCTTTTCAACCTAGACCATGTAAGTTCCTAAAATCTGTTTAAGACACACATCATTTGTTGCTGAGTATAAATAGTTTTAAATCTCCTTGGCTATACTTTTTCATAGCCAAGGGGAAAAAACAGGAAAGAAAAGACAGGAATGGGATGGGTGCAGTTTGAATAGGGAAAGGCGAATAACAATTAGAAACTTATTAAGTGCCACTTCATACACATTATTTCAATTAATCCTCCCCACTTAGATTTCTCACCCCCATTGCACAAATAAAGAGGCTGAAACGTCGAGAGACTTAGTAATTTACCCAAGTTCACACAACTAATACATGAAAAAATGAGGATTTGAACCTCATTTTTCAGACTCTAAAATTAATGCTCTTTTTTTTTTAATATTCTGTCACTTAGCCACTTCCTTAAGTGGCTTGATCACGTGCCAATTAAAAAAATTAATAAGTAATTTATTTCTAGGTGCATCCCAATCAGCTCTATGTGCCCAAGAAACAGTAAATATAAATGGACTAATGCAATATCTCAGGATGATGAAAGCATCTATTTTTAAAGTGTCATTGACATATCATATTTTATCCACTATATTGGGTATTACATAGATTTAAATAATTTATAATTAGTTAGCAAAGAGAGGCTTTATTATAAACATTAAGACTAACCAAAAGAATAAACCAGCCAGGAGTCTAATAAACTAGTCACAGAAAACTAAAAGTCTACAGAACTGGAAACCAGAAACTTGAATAGGATGCCACTGGGTCCAAGTTAGAACCTCAAAACAATGGAAAGATCACAAAAAGTGAAACAGCTGATCTCTAAATTGAAAGTTAGTTTACACTAAAACATTTTAAAGTGCCATTTTGGGGTCAGATTAGTGGTCTATGGGCCCAAGATTGCCTTTCTAACAGTAGCTCCCATGGCTGTGTTTCAGAGTCAGTTTTCATCTATGGCACTCATCTTAATAAATCAAGGATATATAGAGATCTCAGTTATCCTTAATGTCTCTAAATAACCTGCTAGAAAGATTGTCGGCCTGGCACAGTGGCTCATGCCTGTAATCCCAACACTTTGGGAGGTGGAGGCAGGTGGATCACCTGAGGTCAGGGGTTCAAGACCAGCTTGGCCAACCTAGTGAAACCCTGTCTCTACTAAAAATACAAAAATAAGCTGGGCGTGTTGGCACACGCCTGTAATCCCAGCTACTCGAGAGGCTGAGGTACGAGAATCGCTTGATCTCAGGAGGCAGAGGTTACAGTGAGCCAAGATGGTGCCACTGCACTCCAGCCTGGGCGGCAAGAGTGAGACTCCATCTCAAAAAAGAAAAAGAAGAAAAAAGAAAAAAGAGATTGTCCATAAATTTATTTAAACCGGTTTTAGTAATAGTTCTACTTTAGACCTTTACCATTTACTTAGGATATTAAAAGTCATCTGTGATTCCCCTAAATTCAGGGCGATGCCTCATGTAGGAACAAAAGCCAAATATAAAATTCACCCTTCAAGTATAAAGCATTTAAATGTTCAGAGTAGAATCAGTTCTGTATTAAAACAAAACAAAACAAAACAAAACTGCTTTTAAAAAGAGATGGGTTTGGGGGAGGAAACAAGTAGTTAAGTGTAACTATGATCTTCCAAAATCAAACCCTAAGGATCAAGATGTAATTAACAACTACAGCAAAAGTGAATGAGGCTCCTTCTACTTCTTATTGCCCCTTCAGAAGAAATATGTATGCAATGTTGAAGAAACTTTCAGAAATTACCAACCAATTTAGTAATTGGTTCTTCACCCTATAATAATAATGTACTTCTTAAGTCAAATGTTTATGTAGGCATTCATGATTTCCTTAAATTAATTTTTTTTCAAAATCTCCTTTTTTTATCACTTTCCATAAGTGATAAAATGCAGGCTCTTGTTTTAAAATGCAGGCTCTCAAATAGGGAGCTAGCAGTCAGTAGATAACTAATTGTGCCATCCATGGCTTCCTCAGGAAAAAGAAAGCATACCAAAAAAATTTTAAGAACCAAAATCATTTTAAACACTTCTCTTTAAAATATTAAGGATAAAATAAAGGAAAAAGGATGAAAAACCATAAGCCACTCCTAATTTAATGCAAGTTCCACTGATGCTCTACTTTTATTCTAGCACTTTCAAAAGTTGTGGTCCTAAGATGACCCATAAAGTCAAAGTCAGTAGTGACATGACTCCTTTATAATCTAAGATTGTTTTTCAATTTCTGAGAGTTTATGTTTCTACCAGTGGAAAGAAAAAAAAAAGTGTAATATTTGAGGAACTTGGTGTTTTTTTATAACACTACTGAAAATAGAAATATTTAAAGCTGGGAAAGAAAATACAATGGTAGCAGCATGTTGATCCAGACTTAATAACTTAAGAGAAATGTAGAAGTGTGAAAATCAAAGAGGAAGCTGGAAGAGTCTGTTATAAAGCAGGTCAGGTACAAAGGCAGGTTAAAGGGTTTCCTGCCACTGAAAAACTAACCCATTTTTTTTTTTCAGAGTGTGATCTGTTATCAGTGTTCTCTGTCCTTTTTTTCCTCTTCATCTCAGCTTGATATTACTGTTTCCTTTCATATAATGTTAATGCAGTGATATAAAGATCTATTATTAGTGATAAATCAATTTTTCTTTCTCTCTCCACCCACTCCCCCTACCCCCCATCTAAGTCTTGAAGACAAGTCTGGACCAATTTCTCCATCCTGCCTCTGGCAGCAGACTGTAGCATTTCAGATCCTCCACCAAGTCCCGGCTGCTTCAAAGGAAAAATCCTACTTTCTTCAGTTAAGATCATAAGAAATATAGGGGGAGGGGGTCAGCTCTGTTTGGACATAATTACACTTCATCAAAAGAAGCTTTCTTCATCTTCCATGCGTGAAAAGTCTGCAAGCAGTTAAGTCTGTCTTTTTTTTTAAATATAAAAATTGCTATTTGGGAAACCAGCCAAAACTCAGAAAGCCAATATAGTAAAACAGTGCACACCCTTTGTTTCTCTTTGAAGTTTCTTAAATAAATATGTTGAGGGTTTACAAAGTACACTATCACTTTGCCATAGTTTCTACCTAAATTGATCAGAAAAAAGTTATGTAGCATCTATATAACACAAAAGTAAGATAAATGAAAACACTAACTTGAAACTGTAAGGTAAAATTAAGCATGGCACCCAATCCTTTAAAAACTAAAATTGATTAGTTAAAAACAAAGTATTATTACATAAGAAGAAAGATGCAATTCAGAGCATACAGGTAAATCATCATGTTCACATTTTTCTTGATTCTTACTAGAAAAAAAAGACAAACTTTAATTGCATAGTGGACCTACATAAGTAAATGAGAAAAAGGAAGAATGAATACACACACACATGCTCCAAACCTAATCAGTCAGTAGTGATATAGGATGTGTCTTTTTTCCTCTTTTAATGAAAGTGAACTAAACGTGATGCAGAGATAACCCCCTTAGTTTTGATTCTACCAGAGTCTGTGAGCCTCATTTTATTTCAAACAACCTGTCAGTGACAGTATCTCATTAGCATGAATCATTTTTTTTTTAAGTTAAAAAGTACAACTTCTTGGCCCTGTTCCTAGAAAGTAAACTAAAACTACTCATCGGAAACAGCCTTGCTTGAATTTCCCTTATCAAGTTTTTACAATGGTAATAATTTGACATCTGATCCAAACTAAAGAGCAATTATTAGACATGGTTTAAAAAGTGGTGCTTCTCATTTCCTAGTCAAACCTGGGTTGCAATGATTCCATAAGGCTTTATTTCACCTCAGCCCTAAAGTGGTCTATTTTCTTTCTTCTTATCAAAATACTTAAAATGGAAATATTTGATTCAGTTAAGTAAATAAATAAGCATAATGCTTCTAATAGGTGAGTAACCAGTAAAAGTCTTTCTGTAGAATAAGTAATAAAAGCCAAAATATTGGTCTCCTTAAAGACTTTTTTAAAAAAAATTAACCTCATTTATCAAACAGTTACAAAAACCCTAAAAGGGATAATTTTCTATTTAAGGATTTCTAATTTTTGAATGTGGATTCAGATGGTGGGAATCCTTACATAGTATGTAACTATTAGAGTACTAATCATTCATCTGTCTAGGCAACTTTACATAGTCATTCTAACATAAGTAATACATTATTCACTTATTCAAATGAAAAGCCTTATGTTAAAAAAAGATTTTTAATAAATTCTTATTATGAAAGTAAATTAAATCATATAGAGGTAACCTGTGATAAGTGAAGAGCATTATGCCAGCTGTCCTTGCAACTTAGACCAAAATTGATATTATCAGGAAATTGATCCAACATATCCATTTTTCTTTCCCCTTTACCATTCAATTTACTCAGTTATTTGACTCCTCATAATTCAGAAGTTGATCCTCCAACTGTTCTTTTCTCTACCTTATATACTCACACCCAGTGAAATTAGGAGCTAGTTTTTCTGAAAACATTGTTTGAATTTTCAATATCATAAAATAAATGAAAAAGGCCTGAGTACTCAGAAAAACACTCAGCTTCATCTGGATGTATTTAAATCAAATCTTCAGTAATTCTATTCAGAAAAAGAAGGTGCTGATTTGTATACAGACTAGTATACATTTCATCAAAGGAGCCTAATGTGCTTATTCCATTATCAGTATCAAAAGTCAGAGACCTACCTCGTCCACTCCGGCCCACAAATCTCAGATCGTTGAACCTTGCTACTTGGTTTTTCATAACAGCAGAGGCATTCCGGAGCTCAGCAGAATAATTTTCATCGTTACCCGCCATGACAGTAACCACAGTCCCATCTGGTACCTCTCCAAGTGCTACCACCTACATAAAACAGGAAACACAGCAGCAATAATGGCACATCAGAAAGGCTTACAAACAGAATATATTCTCATTGCAAATGATGTGTCTTATCAGGACTTAGTGTTCTAGTCCAGTCCAGTAATGGCCGACAGGAATGAAGCATCTGTGTATGGGTTGTGATGCCACTTCAAACAGACCAATGTTTCAGGGCCCACCCATTTCAAAGGCAGGCAAAAACGTCCTTCATTTGTTGTTGGATTCTTCACAGGAAATATGTACATTTTTATTAAATCCCCATGTTAAGTTGTCCATAGGAATTATGCCACAGAAGGAAGGAGGATGCCCCGTCTGCAGATTGCATCATACAGATCCAGGCACCACCTGTCTGCAGGCTTCCTCTCAGGGAGAGCCCTGAGGTGTGGTCTTAGCCCATCACAGTCTAAAAAAATATCAAGTCTAGTCAACTCTATGGGAGAAGATTTTTAAGTGAAACCCTGGGGCTCCTGACTACATAGAGCCTAGATATGGTGTGGTCTATGTTTTATCTCCTTACTTTGGGCTAGTACTTCAGCTTTTAATAACAGTATAATTACTGAAAACCCACTCTGCAGTGGGATCCAGTGGGATATCCAAAGTCATCAAGAAACTGAAGATGAAAATAACTGATGATAAATAAAAAAATATATGTATACCCTTAGCCTCATTTCTATTATGTCTTGTCCCATCTGCCATCCTGGCATGACATACTTGACTACTTAATCGTCAACAGTCAATCTGAAGCAAATTAACTCAATCAAGAAAAGATTAATTATTCTTGATTAATCCATCTTTGGAAATAACCAACATTTTCTCTGCTCCAAGACTAGAGATCACACTTTAACCTGGGTCAGCTAACTTGCAAATGTGTGCCTCTATTAACACAGAGCCCGGTAAGGGGATGCTGGTGCAGATCCTTCACTGTCATATATGAAACATACTCCTCCTAATCCACTGCCAAGATCCTGCCCCTTGGTAACAATCCCTTGTCTCAATGAACTTCCAGGACTCTATATTCAGATTATTTCCATGTCTTCCTCATTCCATTTCCAGATGCCCTCATATTAATTCAGCAATGACTCCAGCTAAAGTAGCCCACAACTCTCTGACAATAACACCCCTGTGTGCTTGCCTGTCTGGTAAATATCCCACTTATCTCTTTCTACTTCTAGTGCTACTCCCTCCTTTGTCAAGATTTCCATAAGATAAACCTAAGCATTTAATTCCATTGTTCCCAATACAATTGGCATATTAAAGTAGATTTCGTATAGTGTGATAATATACACTATACCTACATCTTAGGGCTGAATTTCCTACAACACCCCTTCACTATGTCCTCTCCTCCAGCCAGGAAAACAATCAAACAAAAAACTTGTCAATATTTTTGTCACCCTTACTTTTCTCTTAGGCTGTTTCTCAGTTCCATTCCTTCCATTCAGTACTGTGTTATTCAGCTCAAAATCAATAAAGCCTTCCTTAAATTACAGGCCAACTTTCCCCAGCATCCCACTGTACTCAAGTGATCCTCATTTCAATGTATGTATATTAATATTAATGGTCTATGACTACTTTAAATACACCAGCCCAAAGCTGAGGGACTCGCTCCTAGGAGTCCAGATTATATGAGTTTGGAAACTACACGAGAGAAGGGCCTCTATCTCATCTGTCTTGTTCACCACTTATCTACCTGCTCCCAAAAGTGTCCAGCACATGGTAAATGTTTGATTAATTTTTTTTTTTTTTTGAGATGGAGTCTCACTCTATCACCCAGGTTAGAGTACAGTGGCATGATCTCGGCTCACTGCAACCTCCACCTCCCAAGTTCAAGTGATTCTCCTGCCTCAGCCTCCTGAGTAGCTGGGATTACAGGCATGCACCACCACACCCGGCTAATTTTTGTATGTTTAGTAGAGAAGGGGTTTCACCATGTTGACCAGGCTGGTCTTGAACCCCTGACCTCAGGTGATCCGCCCGCCTCAGCCTCCCAAAGTACTGGGATTACAAGCGTGAGCCACTGAACCCAGCCAGATAAATATTTTTGAAATAAATGAAAGAGCTCCATAAAAAGCCCCACTTCGCAGAGACAGAAGTCTGTGGGGCTACCCGCTAAAACTCTGAGAGGGTCAGTTAATGATGAGTCAGCATCCCTTGCTAACAGCAATGTGCCCTTGCTCCCAGCTCATTTTCTGATATTGTTTTCATCCCAGAGGAGAGGGAACCATGCTGCCTCCCCTTTCCCTGAAGTCTATAGTTATTCTCAATATGAGAAGTCTCCTGGGTCAAAAGTAAAATCCCTTGAAAACAAGACTTCCTCCCTGCATACTTCATCTCGTACCTCAAGCGGTTACCGAATACAGGTAATGCTGTACTCCTGGTGGAGGCAATGTGCTTTTCAAATTTTCAAATTCACCATGCCAAAAATGTGAACATTTGAAAATACTGCAATAATTGACTACATTTGCCAGGATTCATCTGAATGTTTGACATTTTGTACACTCAGCATATTGTATTTTAACACCTGCTGTGTGGCTTTCTATGTCAAAGTAAATATGGACCCAGTAAGCATATTAATAAAGGCAGGAGAAAAGTTGTACTGTTTAGAAGAGAATGAATATACTAAAATCAAGAGGCTCCACTTTTTCCCCACTTCTGCTACATATCTGCTGTGACCTCACACAAGTAACTTCATCTCCAGGAACCACAGTTTTCCAATATGAATTGGAAAGTCTGCAAAATGTAGAAGATACTATATAAGTATAGAGTGTAATTATAATGATGTGCTTTTTGTAAGATGAGGAGGGTAACACAGTGTTCTGTTCCAAATCTGCTGTCTGTTAAACATAGGCTTTTACTTATAAGCATCCTTAAAGGGTTCAACTGAATATGTACTTCCTCTCTTCATGTTCTGAGATGTTCTTTGGTGTTGTTGAGAGATACAGGATGACTGCTGGTAGATTTCACTCAAGTCTGGCTACATTTCCGAAAAAAAATAAAGCAATCTGCCCCAATATAAAGGTTTTCGAGAGCTCTGGGACATTATTATTTTACTGCATATTTTTAACGTAATGGATTTTTTTTTAGTTAGAAGAAATGGAAAATTGATTCAATATGGGAAAATATGAAAGAAAAGATCCCTAAGAGTGAAATACATAAATCCATTTTACTGTGCTTAAGCAGCATAATAATGACCATATTCAATATTGATGTGTTTTACATATCACATTTTACAAAACAAATAAATAATCACAAGCTGTGTGAGCCTTCTATGAGGCTTAGAGCAAGGCCTGAAAAAAAATTGCTAATGCAATGTAGTGACAATCTTTCCTGTTAAGGCTGAACTCTAGTTTAATGGCTAAATATATTGAGTTTTTTCTGCTATTCACTCTACCAAATCAGATTGCCCGATGTTTTTCTGAGGGGGAAAAAAGGCTGGGAGTTGAGGGAAGTACTGTATTTGACTTTATATCAATCAGAAGTATAATTATATGTTTGAGAGGTTTTTTTTCTTTAAGTAGATCTCTGAAGCTAAAAAGTTTCCCTTGGAGATTCTCAACTGTGTTTATCTAAAAGAAAACCAAAAGAATCAAGAAATTTTTACACATTTCATCTGTACCAAAACCAAGCAATGGAAAAACATTTGAAGGGGTAAAGCACAGTCAAAACTAAGTCAAAACTCGCTCTTTAACTAGTTAGGAATAAGCACAAATTAAAATTTGCTTCCATTCTACCCAACACAAAAGTACTGCTCTGCAAAGAATAATTTGTGATGAAATCTTAACAAGTACATTTCTAGGTGTTTTTAAAATATAAAATCTACAAATTCAAGAAACTTCATGAGAAAAAGAGAAGTAATTTTCTGTCCTGACATTTCAGAATAGAGAAAGACGTTCCTTTATTTAGCGCACCTCACCATAACTAGCATTTAAATCACATGGTATGTGGCTTGCACAAAATAAAGTAAAAGGATATTTAACTGTAGTAATGCTATTGAAATGTTGTATGAGACTCCTTATGACTAAATCTGTGAATCACTAAAAGAAGAGGAACGGATAATTAACTTAAACCCTTAAAACAGTTTCTCATCTTTTTATATAGAAATTAAAATTTCCCAGGACATTTTCATGGACAGAAGTCTAGTCCTAACTAATCCATTACTCTTATAGGCCAACATAATTTGGGACATTGTACTTGTGGTATAATAAATATAATTATTTTTCAAGATAAAATCTGATCAAATCTTTCTTTGCAATAAAAGAGGAGTCTAATTGCAAAAAGCAAAAATGTTATTCCTATCGTAATTATTTAAAGATAACTTCAAATACAGTATCAAAACATTTCAACAAATACTACAGTTAATTTTTTGAATTTATCCTAGAACTTAGGAAAAGCCCATTGAATTCTAGAGAAAAAACACAATATATCATTTCATAATTTTAAAAATATATATGTCAAAGAGAAATTTTGATAAAAATTATTTCAATTTAAAGCAGAAATTTGTGGGCCATGTATCATGGTGGTTTAGATCATTTAACAATAGATATTCTGGAATTTTGAAAGGATACAAGCAATAATGCCAAAGAGGAGAAAAGAATGAAAGATATCTACCATACCTATTTTCAATTATTTAATGGAAGTTTTCTTAAAAATTTTATAAGTATTTATTTTCCACCTGAAATTCTTTGTTCCAACTGCCTTACTTGGAAGTTGTATATATTCAGTCCCAAAATATTTAAGTTTAAATAAGTTTTCTTGAATTCAAAGGCATAACACAAAAATGTGTGTCTTCATACAACTTGAAATCTATTGTGATTTACATAATTTTGCATAATAATTTATATTAAGGTTAATAAGATTTAACAGGCTTAATAACCTATTTCCCTTGTTTAGGTACAATGAGATTCAAAAACTATAAACATAAAATCTGATCATTAAGTATGTAAGAAAAATACTACTCTCTGGTATCAAGTATTTATTAGTTGCATATTTGTTTTCGAAGACAGAAAAATGGTTAGTGATGCCGAAAAATTATTTTCAAACAGAAATTGCTCTGTCATTTTGAAACCCCTCCTTTTGACAAGCACTGAAAGGTATTATTAAAGATACAGAATTAACTATGAGTGCTAGATTATGTATCTAAAAATGCGTTTTCTTTCTTTAACACTGCCAGAAAAACATATGATACTGATAAATATATATAGTCCAGTGTTCTCTAACTTAAAACAGCAGAATAGGCTTGAACTACTTTTAGTTTTAAAATATACATCTGGACTTAAAATTTCTGCGTAGTGTTTCAGCTTGAAGCTATTTAAGGCAACTAAGTTATGAACCCTGAACACCAGGTTCACAGTGGAAATGCTGACGGACCCCTAACTAAAAGGGTGCTACTGGATGCGAGGTTGACATGCTCTCTCCACAATTACCTGACCATCAGCTAATAAGTTGAATTTGCAAACTACTTCTTTGTCACTAGAATTATCTAGGATAGAAAGGGTCTGGGATCCTCTAATAGTATGCCTTAACTATTTTAAGGTTTCAGTGAGATACACCTGAAAATGTTAAAAATATTTATTTCCGTTTCCTTGACACCTGGGGGGACCGAACATTTCAAAACTGCAGAACTTTGTTAAAAATACAATGTTAATAAACAACTTTATATAAAGTATACTAGTTGTTTTTGCATTTTTACATGTAAAAATAAATAAATTTTATATCATCTCGAAACAAGAGTAGATGAACAACGCTAACACATTCTTAATGAAATAGATTGCCAATATCGTGTTTAAACACTAGTTTAAATGGACATTTCAAAACAGTCTATTGAATTCATTTCTGATTCTCTGCGGTGTCAAGCTCAGTGTGACAGATACAAAATATGGGCTCAATAAATATTGTATTGATTTGAATACCAGACTTCACAACAAATAAGTTGTGTGTGTGTGTGTTTAAACCCATTTACCTATCTGCTATCTACCTGACAACCACTATAATTTATTTTTTACATAGCTCTAAATATCATGGCCAAATTGCTGTCACCACTTTTAAAACGGAGACTTCTTCATATTATTTCTTCACTGCAGATGTATTTGATTATATTGTAAGAGTGTAGAAAGTCTAGTGTTCCAAACATCCATACATTTTTTTTTCAACCGAGTATTTTCTATACTGCGTAGATCTTAGCTATCACCCACTTTTTGAATTCTGTTTAACACAGGTATGGTAACAGAAAGACATTGACAGTGAGGTTTTAGGTTAACTCAATTCATTATTCAATTGATATCAATTAAAATATCTGTTTTAATATGGTCTTGTTACCTATGGTCTGTATCCTGCTTAAGATAACAAAAATGTACTCTGTAATTAACAAGTTGATTAATAACAAATAACAAAATTCATTTTCAAAATAATTTTTAAAGGGTGGTAGTGAAAAATCTTAGATGACAGCCAAAATATCTGAGACTAGCTCAAGCTAAAGTGCAAAAAGCATCCTTTCCATCCAAAATGCTCATGTTCAAATCAATTTAGTAGCATAAATGCAACAGTTCAAGATAGACCTTAAATATGTTTAGCAGAATGGTATATGGAATATCAAGCATCTAAATGTCTTTAAAAATGTAAGCATCTGTTCTCATATTTTCACATATTCTGATCTACTAATTTGTATTTGTATTTTTTGCTGTTTTCATCCAGGTTTGGGGTTTTGTGGGGCTTTTGGTTTGGGGGATTGAAGGGGCATTGGTGGAAACAAATTTCCATTCTCATATAAGACTAATTTAAAAATTCTGTGCCCTTGGACGATGGACATTGTAAAAGATACATATTGTATGGAAATTTAAATTTATACAATTCACATGTATTCTGAGCTTTTCCTACTTCAAGGAAGCAAACATTAACCTACAAAATGGGTGGTTTATAAAAGGAGAAATGTGACGGTTAAAAAAAAAAATTTCTTGAGCCAACTGCAAAATGAAACTTGCCCCAGAAAGCAACATCCCCTTTCCATAACAATTCATTCTGATTTCTGTTCTGATATAAGACCTAGCGAGATTACCAGCTCTAATTGACCTGGACTCCTCTTTCTTTCCATCCCACCCACACACGGAATCTGAATTGGTGCGTGGGGTGAGAATTATCAACAACTGGGAACTGTCAGTGGCCCGTGGGAGTTTGGCCACCGGGTCCCCAGTGGAGAAACTGGCATGATTCCTCCCCCAACTTTTTTTTTAACCTCCCCCGAGGCCTTGCTTGCCCTGCTCTCCACAGACCTCAGAACCCAGGGGACCCAGGCCCACCTACTCAAGTTCAGAGGTAGAAAGGGCCCAAAGCACCTTTGTGAGAGTGCTCATCTCCACATCTGGCTTACCACCCCCTGCATCCCTGGCGTCTTGCGAGTGTGGACAGCCCGGGAACCCATTTCCCCATCAACCCAGTATGCGCTGGGCCCTGGGGACTCCGCGTCTCCCCCACTGGAGAGGACTGCCCCGGGAAATCCGGATCGAGTTACGGAGACCCATCGGGCTACTGTGAGAGGCTCCAGATCCTAAACCCTCAACCTGTGGAGCACCTGCCTGCGACTCCCGCGGCTGCCACCCGCCCTCAAACTAACGGGCCGGGCAGGCACAAGAGTCCGCGGGGCGCGCAGAGGCCGCTCTCAAGCCTTCGAACTCACTCTGTGCTCAGACCACCGGCAGGAGCCTCTCACCACCATTCAGAAGCAGGAGGGACCTTTTTTAGATTTAAGTCCTTTAAAAATAATACTAAAGCAAAAATACAAAATTTCACCTCCGTTTTCAAATTGGGCGAACTCAAGTTGTTTCACAGGTTTCCCTCATCCCTCCATGGCGGGGCGAGGCGCATAGCTCGGTCTCGGCTGGAAGAAGCGGCCTGAGCTCCCGCCCCCTCCCCTGGCCAGCACCTCCCAGCACTCGAGGGTTCAGCGCCCAGGCCCCCTGAACGCCCCCGCTTCGGGGCTCGCGGACGCCCAGGCGGCCCCGCCTTCCTCCCGGTAACGGGATCTGGCGCGGGTCAGCGAACAGAGCAAACGCCCCCGTCCTGACACCCCCTCCTCTGGAGACCCTAGTCTTGTCCGGGACCCTCCCAGGCACGGGTAGCGCAGCCCGCGCGCCTCAGTCAGCACCCCACGCCCAGCCCTGGGCACTAATGCCCGGCGCCGGCACCCAGTGAATCCCGACCCGGGAGCCCGGGAGGGACCAGGACCGCTGAACTCTGCGGGTCAGGGAAGGGGACGCCGAGACCTAAGGAGGGGCTTTTGGCTGGGAGGGAAGCGGGTGGGAGCGCGCGGAGCCCCAAAGAGAGGCGACGCGGGCAGCCTGCAATGAGGCCAGGCCGGGATGACCAAGGAGGAGGAAGCGGGAGCCCCGGGGGACAGTGTCGGGGATCCTCGCCCTCGGGAAAGGGGCGGGGTGGAGCAAGTCCGCTCGCAGTGCAAGAGTGGGCACCTTGGGGATCCTGGGGGAAAGGGAGACGGAGCGAAGGAGTGGGTGAGAACCGAGGCCGGGCAGGAGGCAAGAGGAGTGATGAACGGGTCAGGGGGACGAGGGCTGAAGTCGGGGTGGCAGCGGGCACAGGTGGGAGAAGGAGGGATTTGCGCGGAGGGACTGAGCCTGGAGCCCGCCAGGGCATCCGGAGGGAGAGGCCCAGCCGGGGGTTTCTGGGGTTAGAGCCGCCAAGGCAGGAGGTCTTGGAGAACGTCCGGGGCCCAGCCCCGTGGGCAGGAAGACACCGGCGGGCAGGTTCCGCGGCTCCGGGCCGGGGGCGGGGGGCGGTGTAGACTCTTACCTTGAAGGCCACGGGCAGGGTCTTGTTGCAGCGCCAGTGCGAGGGCAGTACCGAGCACAGGAAGTTGGGGCTGTCGGTGCGGACGAGTTCGGCCGGGTGGTCGGCGATGATCTCCACCATGGTGCGGTTGTCGTGTGGCGGCCGCAACCGGGGCACTGCAGCTGCCGCCGCCGCCGCCGCCGCCGCCGCCGCCGCCGCCGCCGCCTCCTGCTGCTGCTGCTGTTGCTGCTGCTGCTGCTGCTGCTGTTGCTGCTGCTGCTGCTGTTGCTGCTGCTGTTGCGCAGCCACCACCGGGCTCACGTCGCTCATTTTGCCGGGCTGCAGGCTGCTGGAGGGGGGGCTGAAGCGCCGGCTGGTGCTCGGATCTACGGGAATACGCATCACAACAGCCACAAGTTAGCGAAGTGGCCGGGGGAGGGGGAGGAGGGTGGAAATGAGGGGCAAGGAGGAAATTGGGGGGGTGAAGGCGAGACGGGGGGAAAGAGGATGGAGGTGATGGGGCTGAGGAGGTGAGAAATCAAGTTTGATGAGGCCGACTGCCGGGTGGAGTCTGATGGGCCAAGAGAGTCTGGCGATGCGGCGCAGACGGGCTGGCCGGTAGGGAGACCCGGGAGGCGCAGATCTTTGCCGGAGCCTTTGGAACACCCGGGGTGGCAGCTGCGAACGGGCGCGGGAGTGTGTTTGGCCCGGGGAGGCGGGGGACTTGAGTTTGCAGCTTGGAGTGGGGTCCCTTGGGGCACCGCGTCCTGGGTGCGCTGGCGCCCCCTCCCAGTTCGAGTCCGGTGGTGAAGCGGTGTGGGTTCAGCAGTCCAGCCCCGGGGCCGGCATTGCCGCGCTCTGCCCGCCACCGCCGTGCCGCGCCGCGCCGCGCGCTGCTACCCAGCTGCAGGCGGCCGCGCCTCCGCCCTCCCGCGCCGCCGCCTCCGCGGCGGCCGCCGCTCCCCCCGCGCCGGCTGCACGCTCAGATTCCTCCCGCGGCGGCTGCCAGCCCGGCTCCCCGGCTAGGCTCCTTCCTTTCCCTTCTTTTCTTCTCGCCCTCTCTCCGCCACCTCCTTGCATCTACTCCCTCCTACAATTTGCAAAGCTCCCCTGTCTCTCGCGCTTCAAGGTGCCAAGAGGTAAGTCGTGGGCAGCGGATCTCGGGGCAACGGATCTCGAGCCTGCGAATCGCAGCCGCTGCCGCCGCCAGCCGGCCGCGAGAAGGAGCCCCCCGCGCGCCTTGTGCAGCTTCCGAAGCCGAAAGGCGGCCCTAGTCTAGGGGCAGTCTCGCCTGGTCGCGTCCTCTTGTTCTCCCCACCCCTAGGACAAGGAACCCCCTCTTTGTCGGAAGAGATTGAAGCCGAGACACCAGAGAGCCCCCGGCTGATCTGACTGTCGCTATTTTTCGTTGTAACTTCAGGAGAGGAGGAAGGAAAATTCTTGAGCGTCTGTGCTGACTTCTCAGCACTCTTCACCCTCCCACCTCCACCCCCCACCTCTGTCTGAGCGACTCCCAGGGGAAAAAGATTTTGCAGGGTTTGGGTGTTTTTTGTTTTAATGACACAAAAAAATGAGGGGGGTGGGGGGAGAACTAGTCAAAGTAGTTTTTAGGAACTCAAGTGCATAGCCGGACATTTCTTTTTTCTTATATATTCAATCTTGTCATTCCTAGAGAACAAGAATGAGGTTTTTTTTGTTGTTGTTGGTTTGTTTTTGTTTTAAGGACTGAAAAACTGTCAGCTTGGTGATTAAAATAGTTGCAAAACCCTTGCTGGGGAAAAGCACCAGCCTTTTTCCATGAATTTAAATCTTTTATTAAGTCTATCCTACATCTAAGACTAAGTTTCGTGTCTGTCTTCCCCAACGCTCACGGGAAAAAATTAAAAATACGAACTAAAAAATTCAAAATGCTTCCGTGGCTGTTTATTTATGTATTTATTTCCTAGTGTGGGTTTAAAAAGCGACTTTGGATCCCCCAAAAAGTTGCGGTCGAGAGGATGAAGGAGCGCGGAAAAAAAGCGGCACTTTTTACCTAAAATGTGGTTTTTGGAGGCTGGGATTTCTAATGATTAGGTTTTTGTGGTTTATATAGACACGACTTTGGCTAAGGCGATCATTACGCTGATGAGAGTCAGAGCACGTGGGTGTCTACGACCAGCCTCAAACTCTGAGCCTTCAAAACAAATAAAACAATGTGCTGCGCCCGCAGAAGCCGGGAAATCCGCTTGAGGCTATTACACCCCAAGAAGGGGGCACAGGGCCGTTTTACCCTCGGCGTTGTGTACTACTACGTTTCTTGCTTATTACCAAACTCTTTAAAGCCTTCCAAAGCTTGAAAACGTGTTTGCGAAAAAAATCTTCAGTTGCCAAAGTTTCAAAGATTCCTAGTGGAGTAGCTGACACAGTAACAAGTGAGTTTATGAAATAAATGAAGAATTAGAATGCCTCCTCCTCGAAGTATTAAGGAAGAAAGATGGTTGGGTCATCTCTCCCTCCCATCTTATTTAAAGCAATTCACATACCCATTACTGGGTGTTTTTATTGCTCAGTGCAAACGCCTCCCTCACCCTCATAGCGACCTGCCACGACTCTCCCTGTCTGGTTTTAAAGCTTTGCTCTCACTCGCTGAGCCCACGCCCGGGTCTGCGCCCTAGAAGGGGCCTGGAAGGGCTCTGAGAGCATGAGGGGCACGGAAGATGGGGGCCTGGCGCCAATCGCGGACTCTGGAGCCCTTTCGAGTACAAGATGAGCTTGCGGGGCTGTGGTTATGTGACTCGGTGACCAGGATCGCCCCGCTGAAGAGATGCGCGGGGGACTGAGGGTCTACCAGACCGCAGGAGCAGAGGTGGGGGTGCGGGGTAGCCGGGTGTGCGCTCTTGCGGGGGTAAGGATGGAGTTCAGGGGATACTGCTCTATCCTTCCTGTTTGGGGCTTTATTTTTACCTGCCCTTCCTCCATGCACTGCTCCACGCCTCCCTAGTCGGTCTTTCCCTTTCCCACGTTTCTCTCCACGTTTCTGCCTCTTCCCCAAATCCCTCCACAGGCACGAACCCCGCGCCGCTCCACTCCCGCCCCCACGGCCGCCTGCCACTGCCACCCTCGGTGACTCCGAGAAGCGATTCTGCGCCACCCGCTATGACACCTGGTCCCCAACCTACTCTTCGCGCCCGGCCTACTGGCCTCCCAGCCCGGGCGCCGCCAGGATGCGAAAACCCATTTAGCCAGACCGGACCAACTGGAAGCGCAGCCAGGAGCTGAGCTGGCTCCCGCGCGTGCGATTTTTAATTATCTTCTCGGTCACAGGGGAGAGCTCTAACCCCGGGCACCGCCGCGTCCCCTGCGTGCACAGGTCTCTCGAGTCCCACAGGCGGCCGATCCGGGAAGGGAAGCCAGGCTTTCCCCTCAAAAGAGAGAGACAGCATCCATTGCTGTCCTACCTTACACGTCCACTCACGTGCACTCGGACACACATTCTTGCACGTCCACACGCAGACACACATAAATAGACACGCACTCACACATAAATACACACGCACTCACACTCATAGCTTTTTTTCCTGCCTTTTTTTTTTCTTTTTAGGGGGCTAGTTATGCTTTGGGCATGTTGTGCGACTGTCTAACAGAGATCCCTGGCTCATTTTTTGTTTTTAAATCTGTGGGGGCTGCAAAGAGGGGGAAGCAGTTATGGGAATTGATTATTTCTGTGGTAAAAGTGAGATCAAAATTCCATAACTACCATGGTGGATGATATGCCACCTTTTCTGGGATTGTCCTCCTCCCAGGAAGTTCATAGAACAGAGAACTCCTGGAACTTTGAAGACAATAAGAAACAATTCATATTTCAAATATGGACCACCAGAGGGGCTTTCCAAATAAAAAATTCTAGAATGAATTTAAGAAGTTACCTTGGGGACTTTTCCTCCTTTTTTCTCCATCGCTGTTTTGTCCTTTGTTTTATTTGGTGGATAGCAAACTATGCAGGCCTCAGTGGTTGGGGATTTTAAGGGCAATTTAATTAATAGTGAGATTATTTATTTTAATTAATCATATCCAGTAACTCAGCTTTATAGCCTTTCTCGGTATCCTTCCTCCATTTCACATTTCAGTGGAACTAATATAAGCAGCTCTTGGAAGTTACTAGTCTTGGATCTCTTAAAATATTCTACAGTTATTTATAATGTGGAAATGTAATTTTCCACTGAATACCCTAACAACGTTTCAGGTATCTGGCACAGTGGGTTTTCAGTCTCCTTTCAAAAACATCCTTTTGCTGAACATTCACACTTTCGACTGGAACTGACTGAGCCTGAAGCTGATGATGTCTTGGCTCTGAGCGTTGTACTTAAAGAAAGAAAACATTTTTACAGACCCCTAAACCAAACCTCTCCTGTTAATAGTAGGCACATAGGAAAACCATGAGGTTTTACATATGTGTATTTTGTGCTATAGTTTGCTTGATGTCATCTTTGGGTTTAGATTTTCTACATCAAAATGTTCAGAACAAATCATCCGCCCTATTCCTCTTCAGAAATATTCATCTTTTCAGTTGTGTGTGATGGCACTAAAAAGTAAACATTTTTTTTTTCTGAAAATGTGGTAACTCTGGAAGATACAAACGTAATCACACCCACCACCACCTACCATGTACTTTAACATTTAACATAACTGTTTAGTAACAACACCTGACAATTCTGACTTTCCAGACAAAGAAAATGAGATGTGAAGCAGTCGGGTTATTTATCCAGTCGAAAAACTGACTGAGAACAGAACCGATACTCCTGTTATCCTAGTTTCCTGTTCTAACCCCCATACATTATTTTATATATACTTGTTATGATGAAAAGTAGAATAAGTCCCTGTAAATTTTTAAAATATTTTTTAATGGACCAGCTAATAAAGTGGGACAACCAATGGAAAATTATGGGCATATTGATGATCCCTAAAGTTTTGAATGTGTCATATGGGAAAACTGTACAAACAGAACCATCTTTAGAGAGTTTTCATTTGGACTGTGATTGAGAGAATGTTACTCAGCCCTTGAAGAAGCAGCATTGCCACTAGACCAGGAGTCGTCATACTACAACCCATGGGACAAATTTGGCCTAATGCCTGCTTTTGTATAATTCTCAAAGATGTTTTTTGCATTTTTAAATAGTTGAAAAATTAAAAGAATAATATTCATAATACATGAAAATGATATGCAATGAAAATTTCAGTGTCTACAAATAAAGTTTTATTGGAATATACTTATGGTCAGTCATTTATGTATTATCTATAGCTACCTTCACCTAAAGCAGAAGAATTGGGTAGTTGTGACAAAGACTGTATGAGTCACAAGGCCTAAAATATCTACTGACTTTTTACAGAAAAGTTTGCCAATCCTTGCCCTAAAGTGAAAGGGATGCAAGACCCTGGAGGAGTGAGCTAGCAGAAAAGAGTAGATATTTTATAAAGATACTGGAGTGGGTGTGCATGAGGCTCAGATTAGTTTTCTAAAAGTGAGCAATGTAACATTTAACTTATTCTTTTCTGCATAAATTATTAGATTAATATTTTTCACTTAATAATTTTAGAAGTGCCAAAACAGAAAGAAAAGAATGAGGAATGAGTACATTTGCACAGGCTCCTTAAGAACAATTTTCTTACACATCTCCATATGTCAGCATTTTCCATTGTCCTTAAAACATAGTGGGAACACATTAACTGCATAGATGAAGAAGAATGAAGAAACTCTCATGTAGTCTGAACATAAGAAGTAGGTAAGGCTTTAGTAGGTTTATTCCAATTGTGTTGCACATGGTTACACAAGAAACTCAATGAGCTTACCAAGAATTTTCTAGTATACAATATATTCATAAGACCTATATACACTTTTAAGACAGTTAGCTTAGTAACTTAAGTGATCCCAAAGCTTTTT